AAAGAGAGGTGACAAACATACTGAAAAAAATCACTGAAAAATATCATTAATATCACATAAAAAATAAAAAATGACTGCAACAGTATATTGACAGGGAACTGCCAGAGGTTCAAACCAGATTCAGATGAGGACATGGAATGATTGCTAATGCCAAATGGATTTTGGCTGAAAGCAGAGAATACCAGAAAGATGTTTACCTGTATTTTATTGATTATGCAAAGGCTTTTGACTGTGCAGATCATGAGAAGCTATGGACAGCATCGTGGAGAATGAGTATTTTGGAACACTTAATCGTGCTCATGAGGAACCTATCCATAGACCAAGAGGCAGTCATTCAAACAGAAAAAGGCGACATTTAATAGTTTAAAATTAGGAAAGGTGTGCACCAGGGTTGTATTTTCTCACCATACTTATTCAATCTGTACGCCGAACAAATAATCTGATAGACTGGATTATATGAAGAAAAACGTGGCATCCAGATTGGAAGAAGACTCTTTAATAACCTGCGATATGCAGATAATACAACCTTGCTGCTGATAAGTGAAGAGGACTTAAAATACTTACTGATGAAGATCAAAGACCACAGTCTTCAGTATGGGTTATACCTCAATGTAAAGAAAACAAAAATCCCCACCAGGGACCAATAAATAACATCATGATAAATGGAGAAAAGATTGAAGTTGCCAGAGATTTCATTTTGCTTAGATCAACCATCCACACTCATGGAAGCAGCAAACAATCAATGGACATATCGCCTTAAGCAAATTGGCTGCACCAGATCTCTTTTAAGTGTTGAAGAGCAAAGATGTCAGTTTGAGAACTCAGGTGGAAGCCATGGTATTTTCAATAACCTCCTATGCATATCATTAGATAATGAAGACCATAGAAGAAGTGATGCATTTGAGTTATGGTGTTGGAGGACAATATTAAAAGTACCATGGACTACCAAAAAACAAATAAATCTATGTTGGAACAAGTGCAGCCAGAATGTTCCTTAGAAGCCTGGATGGCGAGACTTTGTCTCTCATACTTCGAACATATTATCAGGAGGAACCAGTCCCTCAAGAAGGACATCATGCTAGGTAAAGTGGAGCGTCAATGAAAAGGATGAAGACCCCCAATGAGATAGATTGGCATAGTGATAGTCGCAATGGGCTCAAGCATAACAACAATTGTGAGGATGGTGCAGAGCTGGTTATTGTTGCATTGTTATTATGCGTAAGGTCACTATGAGTCAGGATCTACTTGATGGCACCTAACAACAACAATGTAGGCGGCTCTTTTAAAATCTGTCCTTCATGTTCTGTATAGCCAGATTTCACCTGCATGAACACACTGGGGGTGGACTATATACTGTGCTTTTCCTTCCCCTTCCCATATCCCACCATTCTAAAATTGTTGTTGTTAAGTGCCATCGAGTTAGTTCTGACTCATAGGGACCCTGTATAAGGTTTCCAAGGAGTGGCTAGTGAGTTTGAACTGCTGACCTTGTGGTTCAAACTGACCTTTTGGTCTAATACATTATTCCACAGCACCACATCAGGATTCCATCCCATAATTAAACCTGCATTAACTTTTAACCTGGTGTGGCACTGTGGGTTAATGCTCTGGACTGCAAAGTTGGTTTGAACCTCAAGGTCGGTGGTTCAAGCTCACCAGTCACTCCTTGGAAACCCTATACAGGGTCACTATGGGTAGGGACTGACTTGATGGCATTTAACAACAACAATTACAACAACTTTTAACATGTTAAGGCTTGTTACCTTAAAAACAACAAGAAAAATTAAGTCACCGCTGAATCAACTGAACTGTAGTCCCATTATGCATGTTCCATAGGATTTTCAATGGCGAGTCCTGTTGTGGTGCTGTAGGATAAAACACTGGATTGTAAAGTCGGTTTGAACCACAAGGTCAGCAGTTCAATCTCAATAGCTGCTCTTTGGAAACCCTAAACAGGGTTGCTATGAATTCAAATCAACTTGTGGCACTTTAACAACAGTAAGAGCAAATAGCCTCCCCTGATCCGAGAGATCTACGTAGCTGGGCTATCAGCACCATGGACAGGGCACAACCTTTGGAAGGCTGGCAGAGGAGCAGGACTGAAACTCTCACTCCTAAAATTGGGTGAGGCATGATGGCTTTGGTACACCCTAGGGATGACACATCTTCTTGGCTTCGCCTCCTCCACCCCCTTTCCATCTGCAGAAGGTTGCCTGGGAATCTAGTTCTCTTTCTGCTTCCTCTTGACCCTTCCATCTTCCCATGCCCAATCCTCCTCTGGCAGTCCCAAGAACTAAGCTGGCCTCTTGTGCTGTTTAGACAGTGCTGGGGGAAACCAGGTGTGTTCCTGGGCATCAGCATCCTTTGCATAGTTTTTGATGAATTGTGCATGTTTTTGCACACTGGGTTCACTTAGATTGTACAGATAGTGAATCTTGAATTGTGTAAATCTGATATATGAAAATCAAAGTAATTACAACACATGTTTTAGAGGACGGATTCCACATCCCAGACTTCATGGACCCCCTAAGGGTTTCATGAATGGACATCACATTGGTCTCTGAACCTTCTGAAAGTGTGGGAATTATGTGTTTGTTTGCATGCATAAAATTTTATATTCTTATTTTCTGGAGAGAGATTCCATAGATTTTATTAGATTCTCAAAGAGCTCATGAATTTCAAAAAGTCAAGAGAATTTCTGGGTTAAAGGCTTTCCTAGTTCAGAGAGCCTTTTAGTGTTCTGAGACTCCAGGTCCTGTTGGTAAAGTTGGATTCTGACCTCCTTGTACCTGTGTCTCCTTTCTACAGCTGTGGGGGCAGCTCTTTCCCCCATCTCCCCTCCCTGCTTCTGAGAGAATGGAGAAGGGAGATGCCTGGAAGACCACAGTGTAATTGAGTTGTAGAATTTCAGACTTACTATCAGTCCTAGTTTATAGTAAGATTAATTGCACACATTTGCTTTGTGCACACATTTTTAAAAAGCACTTCTATTTGTAGAATATAAGGGTAATGTTGTTGTCATTAACTGCCATCGAGTTGGTTCCCACCCATAGTGACCCTGTATAGGGTTTCTGAGGTGCAGCTGGTGAACTTGAACCACCGACCTTGCAGTTCAAACTGACTTTGCAATCCAGCGCATTAGCCCACAGTTCTACACCAGTACTTCTGGTAAGCCATTAATATGAAGAGAATTTGTTGCAGACCGCAATTACTGAGATGTTGAGGCCCTGTGTCATGGACGAAAAACCAACACAGCAGCACCACTCAGGCTTGCTAGCCAGGGACCCTGAGGGCTCAAGGAAGTAACCTCCGGACGTCCCGGGTTCATTGGCTTTTACGAACTCACTGTTGGGCTAGCTCTGTATAATTTCCTTTAGTCCTATTAATTCATTCTATGCTTCAAACTCCAGTAATTGTAGCTTCTGAGAATATGGTTTCTTATGTGCCTCTCTTAATGTCTCCACTGTGTTGGCAGTGCTTAAGGTTCTGGGAACAAATCTCTCTGAGGAACAAACTCTGGCCACCTGGCAAACATGGCTTTTCTTTATCAGATTATTCAGTTATGTTTGATATTAACTTAATACATGAGCCTTTGATACCCATGGACAAATATTAAAACAAAAACTTCTTCTAAAGTCAAGGCCTAAAAGTTCCTAGGGCAAGTTTCCCCCGAGACGCTGGAGAAAAAATTCCCCTAAGTAATTCACCCAAAGTAGATTGACAAATTCCGGGGTTTTGTCTAAATAATAATAGCGACAGCCTTCTCAGATCATCCCCAGGTGCAGACCATTAAGCTAGGCGTCCTTCTTCCTCCTGCAAGCCTCGGCCAGGCAACTGACACAGCGAGACTCCTCCCAATCCTTTTCACCTTTTCCCATTCGAGATTAGGTGCTATAGGTATGTTAATTAGGCTTGAGAAACCGAGTTGCTGTCTTGGGATTCGAACCTAGAAAGTACCATATAACAATTTGCTTGAATTTCTGGAAAATTAAGGATGTTAGATTATCAAGACAATTTGCGATATATGTTTTAGAATTTGATTCCTATAAATCATTGTGTCCTGTTTTGAACGATTAATCATATTTCACTTCTGTAGCCTGTCTTAATAAACCCCACCTTCCTTTGTGTAAAGCTCCTCCCTGAAATAAAAAGGAGGTGCAGACTGAAGCCCGCATGTGTTACTGCCTGCAGGGCTGGCTGTGTGTTACTGCCTGCAGGGCTGTGCATTTACTGCCTCCAGGGGCCACGATGCCTGTAGTCCAGGGTCTGCCCACCAGTTTTGCATCCACTCTGGTCTCGGGTGTTTTCTTGTCTCTCTTGTTGTGTCTTTGTGTGTATACTTTCTCTATCTCTGTCGCTGCCAGATCTCCCTACTTCGTGAACCAAACTCTCATGTCGAGGCTGTTTCGCAACAAGAATTCAAACAAAGAGATTGCCAAGTCTTGGGTAACTAGCAGGTTCTCTTTTTTCAAGTACTGCTCAATTACAACTGATTATTCAGTGCTAAGGGCTTTGGAAGGTGCCGAGGCTCATTATAATGTTCGTTGACCTGAATTGCACGTTGTCCTTTGCTGAATCATTCTTATTTGTGCTGGGGCAGCACTGTTGTCTTGTACTTTCTAGGGCTCCTGTGAAATGTGGGGTCAGGATTAGGGCTCAGCCCAGGATCAAGGCTCAGTCTATTGCTGGGATCAGGACTCAGTCTAGGGCTTCAGTCTGGGTTCAGGGTTGAGGCTGAGTTTGAGACTTTGATTATATGTTGTTCAATTCAGGGTTCAGTCTGGGATTTGGGGCAGGATTTAGTTCATTGCTGAAGCCAGGGAATTGTCTGGAGTCAGGGTCAGGCCTCTAGGACTACAGTGGGACTCTCAGTCAAGGATCAGGGCTGTTTAATGCTGGTCTTAGAGTTCAATCTAGAACTCAGATTGAAGCTCAGTTTGCGGCTGGGATCAGGGTCAGATTGAGGCTCTTAGCTGATTCATGTGGTCTTCCTTCCACAGGTGCCTCGGACCCCTCGTCCAGGGGTAGAGTCAGCTGAGAGCAGGCGTTTGGCCACCAAGCACAGCAGAAAGGCCCTGAAGGCCAGTCTGACACTGGGCATCCTGTTGGGCATGTTCTTTGTGACCTGGCTACCCTTCTTTGTGGCCAACATAGCCCAGGTAATGCCATAGCAGGGGCAGGTAAGTCCAGGCCTTGCTGGGGAGGCCCAGAGCCATAGGCCTGGAGGGAAGAGGATGGGTTGCCTCTCATGGCGGACGTGGTGTGTCTGTTCCATAATCCATGCTGGACAGGGTGGTCTGTGTCCCTGCCCCAGGACCACACATGTGACATGTCTCCATCCCCCCAGGCTGTGTGTGACTGCATCCCCTCAGACCTTTTTGATGTCCTCACGTGGCTGGGTTACTGTAACAGTACCATGAACCCCATCATTTACCCCCTCTTCATGCGGGACTTCAAGCGGGCCCTAGGAAGATTCCTGCCATGTCCTGGTTGTCTTCGGGAGCGCCAGACCAGTCTCGTCTCGCCGTCCATGCGCACATCTCACAGTGGCCCCCGGCCAGGCCTAAGCCTGCAGCAAGTGCTACCCTTGCCCCTGCCCCCCAACTCAGACTTGGACTCAGACTCAGCTGGCTCCTCGGGCCTGCAGCAGCTCACAACCCAGCTACTGCTTCCTGGGGAGGCCACCCGGGATCCCCCACCACCTGCCCGGGTCACTGCCTCTGTCAACTTCTTCAACATTGATCCGGTGGAACCCGAGCTGCGGCTACATCCTCTTGGTACCCCCACGAACTGACCTGGGTCTGGAGCTGGCCAGTGGGGTGGTGAACTGGATGGGACCCAGTCTCTGAGCATTCAGGCCAGCTCTGAGCTCCACAGGGGTGCACTGAGCCAGCCCCCATCTGGTAGGATAGAAGCTGGCTCCGATACCATGTTATCCAGGATACTCCATTGTTCAGTACCCTTTTCAGACCTGTGTGTACAGGGCAGTTGAGGATGCTGGGAGTTGGTTCAGATTAGGATGAAAATAATCACACTTTTTGCACATTCTGTCAGGTTTGATGGGAAGTTAAGCCTCTGTCTTCAGAGATGGTTAGTGCTTGGCCGACTCTCTTGCTACTGAGTGTGGTTCACAGATCACCACCAGCAGCATCACCTGGGATTTTGCTAAAAATGCACATCTCTGTCCCACCCCAGACCCACTGAATTGGAACCTGCATGTTAACAAGATCCCCAGGTGATTTGGATGCACATTACAGTTGAGAGGAGCTTATCAGTACTAGGCTACCAACTGATAATCTTACTTTTAGCAACCACATGTGTCAGAGCGAACTGTTCTGCTCTGACACACGTGTTCCATGACTGATTTTTGGAAACAGATCACGAGGCCTTTTTCCCAGGCACCTCTGGGATAGAGCTGAACTGTCAACTTTTTGGTTAGTAGCTGTGTATACCATCCAGGGACTCCTGTGCTATCTTAGATGATTTTTAACCTGGAGTATGATTAGCCAGACAGAGTTTTAGGGCCTGCCAGCCCCTCAGGATGGCTGTATCTCCCATGTAGCTTTTCCTATGTAGCAACACAGAAGAGCAGTTGAGTGTGGTCATCTGATCAGGCACGAATGAAGTCTACTCCACTGTTACTAGCTCAGGAGCTTGGCACAAGTTATTAACCTCTCTGAGCCTCAACGATTGTACGCAAAGTGGGTAAGGATGCCACCTCCAGTGGTTGCCCTGAGCACCCAGTAGATGGTTAGTAAATGGGACATGCTTTTATCATTCTTGGCTATCCAGTCCCCTGCTCTCTGGCTATGGGCAAGGAAGGGCTATTGGTATCCACGTTCTTTTCCATTTTCCTCCTCCTCATCCCCAGTCCAGATTCCCACATTCCTACTCTGGTTCCCTGGGTCTTTGTTCTGGGTGATGCGTGGGGCCCCACTCCTCAGGGACCCTGAAACTCCCAAGTTGTTGTTCCATCTCTCCTGGTGATAGAGAGGCAGCTGGGGGTTTCTTGTTCAAAGTCAGCTTCCTTGGACCTAGAAAGGAACCAGCTGATGGAAACAGAACCTGGCCCTTGTCCTGCCTCCTAGCCCTCTCTGGGGTCAGTGAGGGACATGGGAATGGTGGTCACTCTGGGCAGAGCAGCACTGAGAAGGACCTGTCCCTGATGTCCCTGGTTACCTGCCATAGGTTCCTTTTCAGCCTGGGGTTTGTTTTTAAGCCCATCAACCCAAACTCCTGAGGGGCCTCCGCAGCTGCCCTGGAGCTCTCCTTGGTGCTGATCAGACTCAACTCTGGACCTGCCCCAGGCCGCAGGGGAACCATGGTGCTTGTTACGGCTGCCCCTCGGCCCCAGGCCTGGCTGTGCAGACTCTCAATAAACACAACCTGAAGTCAGTGACTTGGGTGTGGACTGGTTTTACTGCAGGGGCTTTTGGGCCCTTGAGAAGCGGCTGATGTCCTGGGTTTGGGCCCTCAGGAAAGTCATCTTCCCTCGCAGGGCCTCCATTTTCCATGCATGACAGCGCATGTGGGATGAACACAGTAGTTTTGTAAATACTAACATAGTACCCTAGCTCCCACACTTGCTTCACCACTTGAATCCTCCTGACACTCTGCTTCCTGCTGAGCTCATTAACACCTCCTCTGTTGGAGTGTTGTTTCTTCCATCGGGCACAATGGGGAGAATGATCCCTGGCCCTCAAATTCAGGGACAGTAGGAGGAACAAAAGGGAAGGTCTCCACGGATGCAGACACAGCAGTCAGAAGCTTGGGCACAGGAGTTAGACTGACTGGGGTTTCATGTTTAGCTCCATCTGACCAGCTGTGTGACCTTGAGCTGGTTACCTAACCTCTCTGGACCTCAGTTTTCCCAAGTATAAATGGGAAAACACCTCATAGGGCTGTTGTGAGGGTCAGCTGAGACAATCTATGCAAGCACTCAGTACACAGTAAACACTCCATGAGTGGGAGCTAGTATTATTATTTATCATTTCTGTTGTTATCCCCCCACCCGCGTTCCTGCTACCCTTCACCCATATAATTACTTCTTGCCACTGGGCCCAGTTCTTACCCCTAATGAATTCATTTCAGTATTTATTCACAATGTCTTATATACAGAGCCACCATTCTTAGAGACATTGTTTACTTCACAGTCTGTGTGACTGATGCCCCAGTGGCTGTGTGGCAGATCTGAGTAGCTCTTGCACAAACAGAGCAAGTAGTCCTCCATGCTCCCCACCTCCACTTGCTCTGGCCCCTAGGACCAGCTCCAGGGGTGCTGGAGATGCTAGTATGTGGTGCTCGTGTTGGTGAGCAGACGACCCTGGAGTGTGGCTGGCAGAGCAGCCGAGGTCTGGGGAAAGTGGTGGTGTGGCAGCCTCGGACTCCAGAGAGCCCCCAGGATCTCCTGAGGGACAGCCAGGCCCAGACCTCACAGCTGGGGCCTGCAGTACACTGAGTCCACGGCTGTTTTACAGCTCTGGGCTTCACATTGTGGCTGGTAACTTCACAGTTCTCTGGCCTTGCTTCACCAGGGAGGAGACGTCTTCTCCCTCTCTCTCCTTCCAAGTCCTTCTCTTTAGGAAGGTGCTTCTGGAAACTCTGCACCTTCAGGGCTCCCTTGGGGAGCTGGTGGAGGATTTGACAGAGGGTTACATAGAACACTCTGGAAGGATGACTCAGCTCCACGTGAGGGTCAGTCCAGCCCTGGGCAGGATTCTGGGGTCTGGCTGGCACAGTCGGGGCACCCCAGTGGGTTGTGGCTCACACCGTGGCTGCAGACATGGGAGCTCTCAGTAATGGCAGCAGGACAGGAGGCCCCTTCAGAGTGGTCCAATAGTGTGGCAGCTTTAGGGGTGTCACTGGGTGTGAGACCCTGGGCTTGTTCTCCCTGATGGCCGGTCTCACCAGATGAAGAGGAGGTGGCGGCCCCCTGGCGAGGTTCCTCTTGGGGCAGGCTACCTGGGGCCAGCAAGAGGCCCTTCTCATCCCAGCCTGGCTTGGTACAGATGCCCACAGCCTTCAGGATGACGTCCATCTGCTTGGCATAGTCTAAGTGGCCGCTGACCTAAAGAAAGACAGTGAGTAGGGCCCTGGTGGATGGGCAGAGCCTGGGCCTCCCAGTTCCCCTCAACTTCCTCAGTCAACTGCCAATTCCATGACTCTAGCCCTCAGTGGTGCCCAAATCCAGCAGGGGGTGGGGAAAACCCTCCAGGTCTAAGGCTGTTCAAGAATTTAAGCCCCAAATGGACAAAAAAAGCAATGGCACAAACTGCAAGTTACCTTCTACAACTCACTCCTCCCCTTTCTCTCTAGTCATATGCACTCCCCACCCCACCGCCCCAGCCTCCTTTGCAGTTCAGTGTGGAGCCATGACGTTTTGGTCAGTGAGATAACCTAGTAATGTTGTATGGTGCTCCTTGGAAATCTCTAAGTGTGTGTGTGTGTGTGTGTGTGTGTGTGTGTGTGTGTGTGTGCTCTTTTCCTCCTCCTCATTTCCTCTTTCCTGCTGGCTGGAATTCAGATGTAATGGCCAGAACATGAGCAGCTATTTTGTGCCTGACCTGCCATCTGGACTCCTTTGATGTGACATTAAACCCTGTGTGTTTAGGCCACTTTAGGTGGATGGGCTGCTGAGTCTTAACTAAGACAAAGGCTGAGAACTCAGTACTCACCTTTTCAGAGAATAGAGACACCCCATCTTTGTGTTGAGATGTGCCAGCAAGCAAGAAGTAAGGGTGTGACTGTCCCACTCCAGGCCTAACCCTAACACATCACGTTGTTGATTCCAATTTATGTATTAGAAGGAACTCTGGTAGCGTAGTGGTTATGAATCAGGCTGCGAACCTTAAGGTCAGCATTTCGAAACTACCAGCCGCTCTGTGGAAGAAAGATGAGGCTTTCTGCTCCCGTAAAGATTTACAGCCTTGGAAACCCTGTACAGGGTTGCTATGGGTTGGACCTGACTCGAAGGCACTTCACAACAACAACAACAACAACAACAACATATGTATCAGAGTAGAATTGTGCTTCATAGAGTTTTCAGTGGCTGATATTTAGGAAATAGATTGCCAAGCTTTTCTTCTTCTGATGTGCCTCTGAGTAGATTCGACCCTCCAATCTTTCAGTTAACACTCGAGTGTCACGTGTTTGACCACTAAAGGATTCCAAAAATGGGCATGTTATTAGTGTTGTCGAGTGGTTTCTGACTCATAGGGACCTCCGATGTGACCGAGGGTCCCTATGCTCCACAGGGTTTTCTAGACTGTCATCTTTACAGATACAGATTGTCAGGTCTGTTCTCCCGCAGTGGCTGGTGATTCGAACTGCTGACCTTTAGGTAAACAGGCAGGTGCTTAACCAGGAGACACAGTGTTGTTGTAATGTGTACCACTTCATTGGTTCCAACACATAGCAACCCTGTGTAGGGTTTTTGAGTCTGTAAATCTTTACGGGAGCAAAAAGCCTCATCTTTCTTTCACAGAATGACTGGTGGGTTTGAGTTGCTGACCTTGTGGTTAGTAGTCCAGTGCTTATCCTATAGAGCCACCAGTGCTTCCTAATAAACCAAGTCCACTGCCATGGAGTCGACGCCAACTCATGTTGTTGTAGTTGTAAAGTGCCATCGAGCCATTGGTTCAGTTCTGATGCACAGCGACACTGTATAGGGTTTCCAAGGAGCAACAGATGCATTGGAAGCACCCAACTTATGGTTCAAACCAACCTTGTGGTCAAGTGCTTATCCTACAACGCTACACCAGGACGCCACTGTTGTTGTTAAGTGCCATTAAGTCAGTTCTGACTCATGGTGACCCTGTATAGGGGTTCCAACAGCAGCTGGTGGTTATGAACTGCCGACTTTGTGGTTAGCAGCCCAGAGCTTATCTATCGCACCACACCAGGATTCATTGCGCCCCAAAGGACAGAGTTGTTGTTGTTAAGTACTGTCAAGTCAGTTCCAACTCACAGGGTTTCTGAGGAGCAACTGATAAGTCTGAACTGCCAACATTGTGCTTCGGAAAACTGTCCTGTGGTCCAGTAGAACTGCCCAATCAGGTTTCCAAGGCTGTAATATTTACAGAAGCAGATTGCCGTATCTTTCACCCACAGAGCAGCTGGAGGGTTGGAATTACTGACCTTTAGGTTTACACTGAGTGTGTTAACCATGGCGCCACCAAGATTCCTGGGTCCTTACTGTGGAACCTGGCACATAAAGGGTGGATGTGGCACTGTAGGATCAGCACTGGCCTGGCAACACAAGGTTGGCAGTTCAAACCCACCAGCTGCTCTAGAAAGCCCTATACAGGGTCCCTATCAGTTGGATCTGACTCAGTGGCACACAACAACAATTATTATTAGTGTCTCCTTTGTGCCAAGCCCTGTGCCAGCTGCCATGAAGTCTGAAACATGAAGTCTTGCCCTGAGCTGGGTTTCTACCCCCAGAAGCCTCACTGAGTTAGTATCTATTCAGAAGAGATGGAGTCCCCCTCCTGCCACAATTCTGTGCCCACACAGGAGAGGGGAACGTCAGGGCAGCATGCTAGCCCTGGTGGGCTTTGTTTTGCTGGGAGATGCCTGCCTGCCTAAAACGGGGCCAGTCCTTGCTTGTTTGCTCGCTTTGGGTTTGGGATTCTCCTGAAATCAGGAGCTACCTGGAGCCCTGTCTGCCCACTACAGTCTGGCAGTATCTCTGCTCAGGGACAAAGGTGCCTCGTGCTTTCCGGACAGCAGCCCGGCAAGGCCTTAACCAGCGATCTCATCTCTAGGGAGAGGTTTCCAGGAAAGGGGGCGGGCAGCATAAAGACAATGCTAATTGCCTCTAATTACCCAGAGGAGGAAAGCCCTGCTTTTGGGAAGAGCTGCTAATGCGATAAAGAGCTATTATTAGGCAGGAGCTGGGAAGCTGCCACCCAGTGTGAAGAAGGGGTGGGGAAGACATGAAGCTGCTGGTCCCACTGGGGCTGGGGAGGGGGGACTTGTGTTAAAGGCAGGCCTACACCGTGCCATGCTTCGGGCAGGAAGGTGGGTGATGTCTCTCATACATGAGGAAACTGAGGCCCAGGCTCACACAGTGGCAAGCTTGTAGCTGGGCTGGGATTCTAAGGCAGGTCTCTCAGGTGACAAAGGCTGTGTTTATTCCTCAGGCAGAACCTGGACCTTGTGAGGGCTTTGTGGCATTTCATTTAAAAGGAATGCTTAGCTCTTCCTTCTTATATCTGATTGTTTTGAAAGCTCCGCTGCTGAAACCTGCCCACCAACGTGACCCTGCTGGTATATGAAATGCAGGTGGCATTGTTTGCAGCATCTTGGCAACACACAGCTACCAAGTATGACAAACTCACAGACTTCAGGGGCAGCAGTGCCTGGTGGAGTCTTGGTTATAAGTTTTATGTGTGAGGATTGACCTTTGCTATCTTCAGCTCCTTAGTCAAATCCCCCCCACCCCCCATCAACGTGATGGCTGAGTATTAGCTGGGGGGGGGGGTGTCTCAGCAGGTGGAGGTGGTTGACACTGGAGAAGTCAGAAGTCAGTGTACACCACAGAGCCTCTGCCCTAGGGGACTTTCCAGGTGACCAGAGATGGAGGCCTGCTGTCAGGCAAGATGGCGGCTCAAATAAGTGTTGTGTGGATCCTGGGGAAACTCGGGCAATACGACCAACAATGTAATCATCACAAACCAACGTTCTTGGGCTCATGGGCTCTTGTCTGGCATCACGAGGGCTGAAGTCTGCCTGTGTTTGCACTTGCTGCTCACTGCCCTCACTCTATTCTGGTGCATGGGCCCTTTTCCCACTGCTTCTTATATCCACAGGAAGTCCCTGGGTTACAAGATCTGTTTCTAAGAGTGTCTGTATGTTGAATTTGTGCCTAAGTCGGAACAGGTGCATACAGTGCAAGAAAAGGCTCACAAAGTCTTTTGAGGGATTTAAAACCTACACAGGTGAAGGTAGTTGTGATGAAGGCTTTGTTGTGAGTAGGGGTTGGTTCAAAGTGAGGGTCAGGTCTAGGCCCGCTGGCTACAGACCTGGCAGAGTCTGTTTGGCTCTGATTCCTTAGCTTCTCTAAGCCTCAACATTCTCATCTTGGGGCTGAGCTGAGCGCTCAGTGAAGCTATGAACTCCACATTGTGGCATGTGGCAGGTGAGCAAGGCTCTGTGACAAAGCCCGGACCCAGGGAAGGTGCTGGTATAGGTGAGTGACCCCTTTCACAAGCAAATTCCTATGCTCTCTCTTTTTGGTAGAGAATGGGTCAGGGTGTTGTTGGGTTGGGGTAACTAAGCCCCGCTCACCCTGGCAAACACAGAGCCCTGGGAGGGGCCATGCCGATACTCACCACCGAGGACAGGTCCACGTTCTCCACCCTCCGGTCCTCCAGCTGCACGGGCTGCAGGCCGGCCACACGCAGCTGCACTGAGGACGTGCGGTACACAAAGCTCAGCAGCCAGTCTCCCCTGTGGGTGGGCGGAGACAAGGATGAGCCCTGGAAGTGGGGGGGATGAGGCTTCTGTGTGTGCCCACCCACCCGTGGGGAACACTGACAGATGCCTTTATAATGCTTCCTGAAAGCCAGGCACTGCGCTAAGGGCTTTGCATGACCATATTCTTAGTTGAACGTTAGCTCTCCGATAGCTGGGCTCTTGGTTTTGTTTTCTGCTGGATCCCAGAGCCAAGAACAGTGAAGAGCTGTCCAATGAATGAATGAGGAAACTGGGATAAAGTTGTCCACACATCAGCCTGTTTGCTCAGGAGAGCTCCTCGTAGCTGGGACAACGGAAGTTCCAGTTTTCTGGGGTGGGAGTAGGGAGGGAGCCCTCTTGGGGGGAGAGCTGGGGAGAGGATGATGAGGAGCTGCCTCCCTCTACTTTGTGTGTGTGTGTAATTCACACACTAGGTCTTCTATCTGTGAGCTGGAGGAACAGTGCTGTTTTCTGAGGACAGACCTGGCTCAGTCATCTGAGGAGGCACAGTTGACCACCCAGGTGGGCTACATCCCTGGAAACACTCCAAACACTCTACACTTGCCAGAGAGAGTGAGGTCAGTTCCTCTGCTCCCTGTTTCTTCAGTTGTAGCAAGTAGTGCCCATGGGGGGGACATGTGTGGAGGGGCCCACAAGATAGCCATCCCTCTCGGACCCCGGGTTTATATGCTGAGTTGAGCTGCCATTTGAGAGCTAGGTACACAAATGTGTAAGTTCTGTTCAACTGCACCCAGGACTGGGACACAACTTCCCACATCAGGGTGTCTTTTATTGAAACTATTCCTCTGGCTCCTCCAGTTCTGAGTTTGGTTCGTCGGGGGAGCTTGAGTCCATTATTTTTGTAAGGTGCTGTGGGTTAGGTGTTGGACTGCTAACCATGAGGTAGGTGCTCTTTGGGACAAAAATGAGGCTGTCTGCTCCCATAAAGATTTGCAGTTTCAGAAACCCTATAAAGGGTGGCTATGAGTTGGAATCGAACAGGTGGCATGGGTTTTTGGTTTTGGTTATCTGAAAGAAAGGCTCTAACAGCCATGTGTAGTGATAATAAGCTAGGCTGTAAGCTCCTGCCCTACCATAGTATACATTGTTGTCACGTACCCTTGAGCTGGTTCTGACTCAGGGACCCTGTATAAGGTTTCCAAGGCTGTAAATCCTTATGGGAGCAGAAAACCTCATTTTTCTCCTGCAGAGTGCTGGCAGGCTCGAATTGCCAATCTTGTGATTAGCAGTCCAGTGCTTATCCTACAGAGCCATCGTGCTTCTCCACAGCCTGCATGGACCACTGCTATGTCTCTCTACCTCTCTGGATCCCAGGGTGGTAGCAGCAACCTCCAGAGTCCTTCCTAGCTCTAACCTTCTATGATCTCTGACCACTTGGGTGTGTACCATCTTGGAAGCCTCTAGAACAAGAGTGGGGAACGTCCAGAAATCAGTTGGTCTGGCCCTGCCAAGGTAACTGCAGTTCCAGCCATCACATTATAGCAGGCTAATTTTTTTTTTCCTTTTTAAGTTTTTATTGTGAATTATATGTTAGTTTACATGGGTGAACATTATCTTTACATTCATCATATCGTATTTTGTTTCATTGCAATAATCACAGTCCCCTGCATGCATCATCAAACAACCTAAGGGTACATCCCACATGCTTGCTCCCCAGCCACCAGCACACAGCCCCTCTCCCTCCCTGAGTCCAGAGTCCCCAGTTGCTCCTTCTGTCCATGTCATTATCATCGTCTCTGCTTCCATCCCTAGTGTCACTGCCTCCCCAGACAGGGTCTTGCACTTTGCTTTTTACCCTTGATGGTTCTAGGGATCTCCGCTCCTGGACTGCAAAATCAGCCACTCCCCTCTTTTGTTACCAAACAGTTATATTTACGTTTCTAACACTCACTGTCAGACACGATAACAATCATTCCCTATTGAACCACAGGAGTCCTTTCCCCCTCACCTTTTATTAACCCCATCTAGACAGATGCAAACAATTCAGTGGAAGTTCTACCTTTCCCTGTATCCTCTGGAGCTAGGTTCCCTGTTGAAAGCTTGTAAGCCAGTCACTTCTTGTGCCTTTGTAGTCTCCCATTTTGGGTAGCCAATATCTAAGTTCCCCATCCCTGTCGACCCTATGTACCATGGGGGTGGGAATGATCCTCACTGTAGAGATTTGTCAGCTCCTTAGTCATACTGCATCCACAAGCCTAGGTCGAGTTCACCCACTTATAGTGGGTTACTCCCTTTTTTTTTTATTCCTCTTCTTTCTTCCTCTAGTGGTGTTTTGATCATGCAGCCATAGATGCCAGGTCAAATGGGTACTATCTGCGAGTGTGGGTGTTCTTGTGCAGCTCCCCTCACTTCATATCAGCTGTATGCTTCAGACTCCATTCTAGTAGCAGGCTAATTTTTAGGTTGATAATTTTGTATGGTCTGTGAATGATGTTCTAAATATCCAGTGGTCCCCTGCTCTAGAAGGACTGGGAGGGGCTTCTATAGACTCCCCTGCTGTGTCCTTCTCCTGACTCCTTCCCTACCACCATCTGCCTAACTCCCTTGAGCAGAAATGGATAGGGGAATGTCTTAACCCCCGGATGGTTCATTTTGTGTGTCCTCTTGGCCTAGCACACACTTGTCTAGATGTTGCTGTGAAGGTATTTTGTAAATGTGATGAACACATACAGTCAGTTGACCTGGCATTAAGGAGATTGCCCTCTATACTGTGTGTGTGTGTGCCCTCTATACTGTGTGTGTGTGTGTAGGCCTCATTCAACCCCTTGAAAGGCTTAGGAGCAAAACCAGCTTCCTGGGAGAAGGAATTCTGCCTCACGATGGTAACTGGTAACTGGTAATTGGTAAGGGAGGAATTTTGACTAAGCTTCCGGTTTGTCAGCCTGCTACACAACAGATTTTGGACTTGCCAAACCCAGAAGTCTCTTTTTCTCTCTACATATGTACCCCACCCGCCCTGTACCACTGATTCTAGTACTCTGGAGAACCTGTGGACACAGTTCCTTTCTCCTTTCTTACCACTGAGTCCTGCTGATTCCAGTACCCCCATTCCACAGTTGCCGCCCATGCCTGTCCCTTCCCCCTAGCCAAGATCACATCTCTCTCCCTTCCCACAAGGACTACTGCAGGGCTCTCCTCATTGCCTGGTTCTGGTCTTGCCTCCCTCCTCAGGCTGTGGCCCTGACCTCTTAGAAGCTGACCATGCTTCCCATGGTTACAGGCTTTCTCTGCTGGAAAATTCCTTAACTCTCTCCAGAGAACACTGTCTTTAAGCCCTGATGCTGCTCTTAATATAGGGCCCAAGGAGCACTTTCCCTAAGAATGGATGCAGAGGAAAAGGGAGATTAATTTATATCCTTGGGAGTTTTACTTTAGAAGAATTCAGGTTGTTTTACTCAACTAATCATCAGATTATTTATGATCTTTGGATAATGGATATGAATATGGTTTGTAATCACTGCCAACATGACGTTGTTGTAGTTAGGTGCTTTTGACTCAGTTTTGACTCAGTAACCTTCTGTACAGCAGAACGAAACCCTGCCTGGTCCAGCACCAGCCTCACAATCATTGCTAGGTTTGAAGCCATTGTTATAGCCACGGTATCAGTCCATCTTGTTGGGGGCCTTCCTTTTTTTCTCTGACCCTCCACTTTATAATGCATGATGTCCTTCTCCAGGGACTGGTCCCTCCTGATCCCATGTCCAAAGTACATGCAACAAGTCTCATCATCTATGAGAGTTAGGGTCTTGTGTCAACTTGACTGGGCCAGGATTCTCAGTGGGTTAGCAGTTAAGATGTAATAATTCCCCATGATGAGACCTAATATAATGTAATCACTTATCCCATCATGTGATCTGTTGTAAATCCTTACTTGTATGATGAGAACAAAAGGTCATTAAGAAGTCAAGAAAAAACCCCAAAATAAACTGGGTCGGAAACGACTCAACGGCACTTAACAACAACAACAAACCAAACCAAACTGGAAATCAGAAGAGACTGAAACTTGCTGTCCAGCATAGAGATGCTAAAGCAAATGGAAGAAATAAGTTGGTAAAAGAGTTGAACAGAAAATTTCCAAGGGCAGCTTGAGAAGACAAAGTCAAATATTATAATGAAATGTGCAAAGATCTAGAGTAAGAAAATCAAAAGGGAAGAACAGATTTAGCATTCCTTAAGCTGAGAAATTCGAGCTTCGACTTGTAATACTGAATGATTCCATGGGTAAAATATTGAATGATGAAGAAAGCAATAAAATAAGATAGAAGGAATACAGAGTCACTGTACCAAAGAGAAATGGTCAATGCATTTCAAGAGGTAGTATATAATCAAGAGCCAGTGGTACTGAAAGAAGAAATCTAAGGTACACTGAAGGCATTGACAAAGAACAAGGCTCTGGGAATTGATGGAATACAAATGGAAATCTTTCAACCAACTGATGGAGCACTGCAGGCACTCACTCATCTATGCCAAGAAATTTGGAAGAGAGTTAACCTGGCTAACTGATTTGAAGAGATCCATAATTGTGCCCGTTCCAAAGAGAGGTAATTCAACAGAATGTGGAAATCATCAAATAATATCATTAATACCACCTAAAAGTAAAATTTTGCTAAAGATAATTCAAAAACAGCTGTAACTGTATATTGACAGGGAACTGCCAGAGGTTCAAGCCAGATTCAGGCAAGGATATGGATCTAGGAATACATTGTTGACATTAGATGGATCTTGGCTGAAAGCAGAGAATACCAGAATGATGTTTACTTGTGCTTTATTGACTATGCAAAAGCTTTAGACTGTGTGGATCATGACAAGCTATGGAAAATATTGTAAATAATAGGTATTCCAGAACACTTCATTGGGTTCCTGAGGGACCTGCACATAGGCAGTCATTCAAACAGAACAACGGGACACTGAATGGCTTAAAGTCAGGAAAGGTATGTGCCAGGGCTGTATTCTTTCACCATATTTATTCAATCTGTATGCTGAGCAAATAACTTGAGAAGCTGGATTATATGAAGAAGAACACATCATCAGGACTGGAGGAAGATTCATAACCTGTGATATGGAGATGATACAATCTTACTTGCTGGAAGCAAAGAGGACTTAGAAAACTTTCTGAGGAAGATCAAAGATCACAGCCTTCAGTATGGATTGCATCTCAATGTAAAGAAAACAAAAATCCTCAGCACTGAACCAATAAATAACATCATGATAAATGGAGTAAAGATTGAAGTTGTCAAATACTTTAGCTTGCTTGGATCCACTATCAACACTCATGGACTCAGCAGTTAAGCAGTTAAAGGAAAGCAAATCTGCTGTATAAGACCTCTTTAAAGTGTTCAAGAGCAAAGATGCCAGTTTAAGGACTAAGGACCAAGCCATAGTATTTCTAATAGCCTCATATGCATGTGAAAGTTGGAAAATGAATAAGGAAGATCTTAAAAGAATGGATGCATTTGAGTTATGGGGTTGGCAACGAATATTAAAGGTACCGTGGGCTGCCAAAAGAACAAACCAATCTGTGTTGGAAGAAGTACAGCTAGAATGCTCCCTAGAAGCCAGGATGGCCAGACTTTGTCTCTCATACTTTGGATATGCTATCAAGAGGGATAAGGACTTTGTTCCTGGTAAAGAGAAGGGTCAGCAAAAAAGAGGCCTATCACAGTGGCAGCAGTAATGGTCTCAAGCATTAACAACAATTATGGGGACGGTGCAGGACTGGGCAGTGTTTTGTTCTGTTGTGTAGAGGGTTGCTATGAGTTGGAACTGACTGCAGGGCACCTAACAACAGCAACACCAACAACGATGTTAATGAGACCAGATGCAATCTATAGGAGTTTATCTTGAGTCAATTTCTTTTGAGATATAAAAGGAGAGTGAAGTGCAGAGGAAAAGGGACCAATTACCACCAAGAAAGAATAGCTGGGAGTGGACCTAAGGTCCCTGCCCCGGGAAGTTCTTCGATCCAGGGAAACAGTGGCGCCAAAATGCCTGGTGAATTCCAAGGAATGCTGGGCCTACAGATGCTAAAAGCCTTTCTCCAGAGTCAGCACTCTGAATTCAGACTTCCAGCCTCCTAAACTGTGAGAGAACAAATTTCTGTTTGCTAAAGCATCCGTCCACTTGTGGGATTTCTGTTACATTAAGTAGCACTAGAGAACTAAGGCACCATCATTGCGTCTAAGGAGCATTGTAGATGTACTTCTGGCGGCGGCGGTGGTGGTGGTGTGCCGTGGAGTCAGTTCTGACTCATAGTGACCCTGCACAGGGTTTCCAAGATTGTCAATCTTTATGGGAGCAGAAAGCTTCATCTTTCTCCCATGGAACAGCTGGTAGTTTTGAACTGCTGACCTTGAGATTAGCAGCCCGACTTATAACCACTATGCTACCAGAGCTCCTTAGCTGTACTTTCAGAGACTGGAATACTGGCTTATTGGAATAAACGCTCAAATCAGTAAATAGATTTACAAAGAGCTTTAGTAATGTCATAGTCAGTTTATAAATGTATACAGTTTGGTAATGTTGGCCTGGGTAACCCCTGCCTGTCACCATGGTTAAGTAGGTTCATGGGCAACTAAAAGGTTCTTGGGGGCCAAGATATGAATTCCTAGTTGGAGCTTCAGTTAACCAGAGAACTTCAGTGAGGTTTTGTGCTTTGTGTGTGCCTCCTCCTTAACTTTCTCCTCTGTCAAAAAGTAACTGAAAACCAACCTTGTTAGCCCCAAGTTCTCATTCAGCAGAATAGATGGGTTTAATAAGATTGTGCTACTTTCATAGGGCACATGTGCAATTTTAATTCTTTCCCTTTGTTCATGAAAAGTACTCAAAAAGCATGTGCTAAATATGACCTGTAATCATAACTTTACGTTGCTACCATTTACTGGGTACCCAACAATAACAGTGTGGACTGGGCCATGTTTCGGCCTGTTGTGCATAGGGTCGCTATGAATAGAAGCCCACTCACAGCACCTAATAACACAATAACACTCACTGATGAAGAAGCTGAGGCCAGCATTAGGACTCAGGACTATGGGATTCAAAATTATGTGCTCTGGGACTCCTGAGCCCATGGACAAGAACATGGCCACTGAGGACTACAGCTAAGAGTGAAGCATCCAGTTGATATGAAGTGAGGGGATATGCACAAGGGTGCCCAAATTTGCAGATGGTGCCCATGGGACCTAGCTTCAGTGGCTGGATGTTCAGAACCCAAATAGAGGAAGGAAAACAGGAAAAAACAACAGCAGCAACTTAAAAAAAAACAACAAAAAATTTTTTTAAAAAAAGAAAACAAGTTTAAAATCGCTACAACCTGATGAACTTGACCTATACTTATAGATGTAGCAGCTTAAAATACCAACCAAGAGGGAAAGAATCTTTACAGGCAGGATCATTCCCATTCCCTCTGTACACAGGGTTGACAGGGATGGGCAACTTAGACATTGGCTACCTAAAATGGTGGGGCTATAAAGGCATGAAGTGACTGGCTTACAAGTTTTCAAGACGGAATTTAGATTCAGAGTGTTGGGGGATGGGGGAAGGTAGAATCCCCACTGAGTGGTTTTCATCCTGTCTAGAAAGGAGATGGGGACAAGACTCTCATGATTTAACAGTGAGTAATGTTACGAATCGGGCTGCGAACCTTAAGGCCAACAGTTGGAAACTACCAGCTGTTCTGCGGGAGAAAGATGAGGCGTTCTGCTCCCGTAAAGATTTACAGCCTCAGAAACCCTGTACAGGGTCGCTATGGGTCGGAACCAACTTGACGGCACTTAACAACAACGTTATCATGACTAATTGTGATTGTTGCAACTGTAAAGGTAGAAGTTTTGTAACAAAAAGGGGTGAGTGGTCGATCTTACAGTCCTGGAGCAGAGGACCCTGGGACCATCAAGGGAGAAGAGTGGGATCAGAGTGTGGGACTCTACCCAGAAGCAGCGACACCAGAGATGGAGGCAGAGATGATAACATGGAGAGACAGAGCAGCTGAGGATTCTAGACTCATGGAGGGAGAGGGGATGTGTGCTGAAGGTCAGAGGGCTGGGTATGCTCTTTGGCTGTTTGAATGACTGTATATTTCTGAGTGTTTTGGTGCACATCAAAAACAAACAAACAAACCAGCCCAACAATAACAACAACAACAACAAAAACACCCAGCGGGAATAAGCAATACTGTTGAATGGTGAAGCATGCAAGAGATTGTAATCATCACAATGAAATGAACTGATGTTCCCCCATGTAAACTATCACTCAATTCACAATAAAAAATCGTGTACTCTTCAGGGCAAAGGGACAGGCGTCTTCTCAGGCCAAATGCTCTGAGGTTCAGTGGTGGCTTCATTGCCTCCCCTTTCCAAAATCCTAGTCACTACCTTGGCTGACACCCCTCAGTCCTCACTCTAAGTCCAGGCAAGGATTGCGACCTAACAGCCTTAAGGTCACCAGCTTTTGCAGGTCTGAGAGTCTGCCACCCTGCTGGGTGCTGGCTCCCCACCCCTGCCTGCATTCTGGGCTCTCCCCTGCCCCTGCCCACTCTCCTTCCTCCACTCAAAGAGCTAATATGTATGCTCCCTAGTCCGAGCTCTGCTCTTCAGACCAGGTCCCATTCACCCACTCTCCCCCCGCTTCCCCCACCTCCAATGATGTGGAGCCATCCCTGGCCACTCCTGCCATCCTGGAAGCTGGCCCAGACCTGACACAGGGAGGTTCTTTTCAGGGTAACTCCTTGTTATCAGTGATCCTATGGGAACAGATACTTCCTGGGTCAGATGTGCCGGGGCCCTATTCCTCACAGGGCCAATACTGCACAGGTTCTTAGTGTCCTCCAGGCCAGAGGCCTCAAATTCATGTCCCCAGTACTGGGCCCGATTACCTCAGGTGCTTGGTGCTGTCACCTCCTTGCTGGCCTGAAGTTTGGACTGACCTGCTGTAGCCATTGATGATCCTCCCGGACACCACCTTCCGGAAAGGCTCCCAGCGCTTGGCATCCCCTTCCACTGGGGCACCTAGCAGGACGACGTCCTCGATGATCCCTTGGCAATCTGGTGAGAGAGCCCAGGAAAAGGACTTCAGTGTCCCTGGTCACAGTGAGTCCTGGGAGATGCTGAATGCTACACACATACTCTTAAACACATACACTTAAGAACCGAACACCACACATGCATACACCTATACACATGGAAAAGCATAATACACACATGGAAAAGCACACACACACACACACACACACAAGCACATTTACCTGCAAACATGTACACAGCACTGCACAACACATATGCACAGTCTGCACACACATGCATGCACACAGATACATAAATGCTAACAGGGGCTTCAACTTCCTGAGTTCCAAGTTCTGGGTCAAGCCCTGATGTGTCTGATCTATACCTGCAAAGCAGCATGTGTCCCAGTTTAGAGTTAGGAAAAAACAAAGACGTTTTCAAGATCACATGGCTAGTAAGTAACACAACCCAGGTTTGAACCCAGGTCTCTTTCCACTATCCACGAGGTCCACAACCAGCCACGGACTTGGACGGGATGCCTACCCTTAGGAGATATGGGCCCTGGATCATTGCACACACCAGGCAGGACCCACAGCCTCTGGGACTGGAGTCTGGCTGGAGGAGAAAGGGGTAAGAAGGACTGAGGGAGTGTCCAGCCCTGATCCTCTGTACCCAGAATGGGTTTCTAGTCACACTGATCTACTGATTTGGAAGTACTTTGTTGTTTTGTTGTTGTTAGGTGCCATCGAGTCGGTGCCAACTCATAGTGACCTTATGCACAACAGAATGAAACACTGCCCGATCCTGGGTCAATCTCACAATTGTTGCCATGCTTGAGCCCACTGATGCTGCCACTTGGCTAATCCATTTCGCTGGGGGTCTTCCTCTTTTTCTCTGACCTTACCAAACAAGATATTCTTCTCCAGTGACTGGTCCCTTCTGACAATATGTCTGAAGTATAAGAGACAAAGTTTGGCCATCTTGGCCTCCAAGGAGCACTCTGGCTGCACTTCTTCCAACACAGATCTGTTAGTTTTTTTTGGCAGCCCATGGCACTTTCAATATTCTCCTCCAACACCATAACTCAAAAGCATCATTTCTTCTAGGTCTTCCTTATTTACTGTCCAACTTTCACATGCATATGAGGTTATTGAAAATACCATGGCTTGAATCAGGTGCACCTTAGTCCTCAAGCTGACATCTTTGCTTTTCAACACTTTAAACATTCTTCAAAGAGATGGAAAAAACAAATACAAACTTTATATGGAAAGGAAAGAGACCCAGGATAAGCAAAGCACTGCTTAAGAAGAAGAATAAGGTTAGAAACCTCTCACTCCCTGACTTCAGAATTTACTACATGGCTACAGTGGTCAAAACAACTTGGTACTGGTACAATGAAAGATACATAGGTCAATGGAACAGAATCGAGAATCCAGAAATTAACCCATCTACATCCAGCCAACTGATTTTTGACAAAACACCTAAATATATCGCATGGGGAGGTGATAGT